ATATTTTATTATTATTATTATTATTATTATTATTTATCGATACTGAAACGGATATATTTAATAATGTTAATAAAATTAAAACGGTATATATTAATTTCATTTTTGTTTATAAATAAGTTTTTTTTTTTTTTTACAAATAACTATTGTTATATATTATATATTTATAATATACAAATAATTAATTTGTATATTTTTCTTTATTTTTTTTTTTTATGTTATTATTTTCTAATTTATTATTATAAAAATAAAATAAAAAAAATTTTATAAAAAATAAAATAAAAAAAAGTTTTTTAAAAAATTAAAAAAAACAATAAAAATAAGATTTTTTTTTTTTCTCTGGTAACAAATTTTTTATTTTAGGATATTATTAATAAAATTTTGGTTGATTATAATAAAAAAAAAAAGATAAACAAAAAAAAAAATCATTGATTTTGAAAACCAACAAAAGAAAAAAAAAAAATATGTATTAAAAAATTTTTTTTTGTTTAATATTAATCTATTAACAAAATTTCTTTATTACTATTTTCTTTTTTTTTTAATTTTAATTCTCTTTTAACTATTAGGTCATATTCCGGAAAACGGATTATTTGAGAACGCCTGATTTTCTTTCCACACCCGGCAACTGGGCAAACTATGGTTTGTTTTTTATCACTGAACATTAAATTTACTGAGGTTTTATTAAATATATGGGAGCATGGAATTGATTTCATTGGTTCATCTAGTTTTGTGAGTGAGAATGGACAGGTAATTGAAAAAGTACTTGAAATCATAATCAACTCTGGTGAACATATATCTTTGCAAATGCCGTGTGAGTCCATTCTTTTTCTTTTATATGAGCTATTATTTAATTTGTCTATTGTTTTTTCATTATTTATTTTTTTTATTTCCAAATTATTAATTTCATTGTTTGGGTTTTCTTCTAAATCATCAATAATAACTATTTCTGTATCCATTTTTTACAACTATTAATATTAATATTATTTTTATTACTAAATATGCTATGAGATAAACTGAAAGAAAAATAAATAAAAAAAAAAATAAAAAAAAAATAAAAAAAAATATTAGTAAAAAATAAAATAAAAAAACAAATAAATTCATTACCATACCCCCTACCACATTTTAATATAATCCTTTGCTACCATATAATTTAAAATAGTATAACCATATTAAAACTTCCAACTACAACATTCAGTGGTAGGTATATATAATCTATATACCAAAAAAAAAAGAAATTATTCCATAACGATACAAAATTTTTTTTTTTTATTTATTAATTGAGAAAAAAAAAAAAAAAAAAACTTAATTTTCAACCCTTCATTTAATTTAATTTAAAAAAAAAAAAAAATTTTATTTTTTTTTATAAAATTAATTTTTAAATTTTTTTTTATAATTTTATTTCAATAAAACATGTCATCAAATATTAAATTACCAAATACAAAGCTATTCATAAATAATGAATTTGTAGAACCAATCCATAAAAAGACAATACCTGTAATTAATCCAACAACAGGTAAAGAAATATGTCAAGTTAGCGAAGGTGATGCTTCTGATGTTGATAAAGCTGTAAAATGTGCTCAGGATGCTTTGGAGGGAGAGTGGGGTCAAATGTCTGCAGAGGATAGAGGAAAACTCATGTATAAATTAGCCGATCTCCTTGAAGCTGAAATGGAAAGATTTGTCAATTTGGAATCATTGGATAATGGCAAACCACTTAGTGGCGCAAGAGAGGATCTTACAGTTAGTATCCGTTGTTTAAGATACTTTGCAGGCTGGTGCGATAAAATTCAAGGAAAAACAATACCTATTAATGGTCAATATACTTGTTTTACAAAGCATGAGCCAATGGGTAAATATAATAATTTTTCTATAATATATAACGTATATTTTAAAATTAAAACTAATTTTTCTTTTTATAGGTGTTGTTGCATTGATTGTTGCATGGAACTACCCACTAATGCTTTTATGTTGGAAGCTAGGTCCAGCTCTTGCCGCTGGTTGTACAATTGTAGCAAAACCATCGGAATTTACTCCATTAACCTCTCTTTTATTCTGTGAACTTGTTCAAAAAGTTTTACCTAAAGGAGTTTTCAATTTAGTTGTTGGTAGTGGTGAAGTAGTTGGCAAAGCATTAGCCGAACATATGGATATTGCTAAAATTAGTTTCACTGGTTCAACTGCTGTCGGAAAAAAGATTCAACAAGCAGCAGCAAGCAATCTTAAAAAAGTTACATTGGAATTGGGTGGTATGTTACTATAATTAAAAAGTGTAAATAATTTTTTATTTTATTATTAATTTCAATTATTATTTTTTAAATAGGTAAATCTCCAAATATTATTTTTGATGATGCAGACATTGAATACTCTGCAAACTGTAGTATAAATGCAATTTTTGCAAACATGGGTCAAAACTGCTGTGCTGGTTCAAGACTTTTCGTTCAAGAAAATATTTATGATGCATTTGTATCATTCTTTACACAAAAAGCAAAAACTCTTTCTGTTGGCAATCCATTTGAAGATCCAAACCTAGGTCCATTAGTTTCACAAATCCAATTAGATCGTGTTCTTTCTTTTATCGAAAAAGGCAAATCTGAAGGTGCAACATGTCACTTGGGTGGTAAAAGAAAAGGTGAAGAAGGTTACTTTGTGGAACCAACCATTTTCACTAATGTTACTGATGAAATGACAATTGCAAAGGAAGAAATTTTTGGTCCAGTAATTAGCATTCTCAAATTTAAAACTGTAGATGAAGTTATTAAAAGAGCAAACAATACCAAGTATGGTTTAGCTGCAGGTGTATTTACCAAAGATATTAGTCTTGCTTTTAATGTTACTAATAAGCTTAAAGCTGGATCTGTTTGGATTAACGAATATGACCTCATTAACCCACAAATTCCATTTGGAGGCTATAAGAGCAGTGGTTTTGGTAAAGATTTAGGCTCTGATTCAATCGATGCCTATATCAATATCAAAGCAGTTGTAGTTTCTCACAAAACCATGTTTGCTCAACAAAAACAATAATTTAAAATAAAACAAAACTTTGTCTTTTAATATATAATAAATAAAAAAATAAACAAATAATCTTCTTTAATAAACAAATAAATAAATTTCTTTAATTTAATTATTTTTAATAAATACTAATCTAGAAATGTTTTATAATAAGAAAATATTATTATTGAATGTATTTCAATTTATTTATTTGGATGTGAAATAGTAACAGCCTTTACACTGAGATAATCATAGATTGCATACTCTGATAAATCTTTGCCAATACCACTTTCTTTATAACCACCAAATGGAATTTGGGTGTGGATTCTTGAATAGTCATTTATCCATACAGAACCAGATTGAAGTTGGTTACTAACATTTAAAGCAAGGCTAAGATCTTTAGTATAGATACCAGCAGCTAAACCATAGCTAGTTTTATTTGCTCTTTCAATGACCTCTTCAACAGTTTTGAATTTAAGAACACAAATAACTGGACCAAAGATTTCTTCCTTAACAATTGTCATTTCTTCTTTACAGTTAGTAAAAATGGTTGGTTGTACAAAGTAACCCTCCTCACCATGTCTAGCGCCACCCAAGTGACATGTAGCACCTTCTGATTTACCTTTTTCAATATAAGAAAGAACACGATCATGTTGTTCTTTTGAAACTAATGGACCTTGATGATGTTCAGAGTTCCATGGATCACCAACTTTTAATTGTTTAACTTTCTCTGTGAAGGTAGTCATAAAAGCATCATATATATCTTCTTGGACATATAATCTTGAACCTGCACAACATGATTGACCCATGTTACCAAAAAGACCATCTCTAGCATTGGTGGCAGCAAATTCAACATCTACATCTTTAAAGACAATATTTGGTGATTTACCACCCAACTCTAAAGTAACTTTTTTAAGATTTGATTTAGCTGCGGCTTCCATAATTAATCTACCAGTTCTAGTTGAGCCAGTGAAACTAACTTTATTAATATCCATATGATGGGAAATGGCATTACCAACAGTATGACCAAAACTAAAATATAAAAATATAAAACATTAATATAATGTATAAATATATTAATTAAACTAATAATAAAACAACCACATACCCATTTACTAAATTAAAAACACCTGGTGGGAAACCTGCTTTTTTAATCAACTCACACATATACAATGAGGTTAATGGTGTAAATTCACTTTGTTTGGCTACAATGGTACAACCAGCAGCAAGAGATGGACCCAATTTCCATGAAAGGATCATAACTGGGAAATTCCATGGTGTGATGGCACCAACAACACCAATTGGCTCGTGTCTAGTGAAACAGGTAAATGATGTATCTATTGGAATAGTTTTACCGTGGATTTTATCAGCCCATCCAGCGAAATATCTAATACATTTATAAGATGATGCGACATCATAACCTTTAGAGGCAGCTAATGGTTTACCATTATCTAATGTCTCAAAATATGAAAGCTGCTCAATATGTTCTTCAATGAGATCTGCCAATTTAAACATTATTTTACCTCTATCTTCAGCTGACATTTGTCCCCATGGTCCGGTTAAAGCTTTTCTAGCTGCCTTTACTGCAATATCTACATCTTCTGGGAAACCTTCAACGATTTCACAAATAACCTTACCATTGACCGGGTTATGAGTTTTAAAAGTTTTATTTCCTGGGACAACTGAGTCTACAAACTCTCCATTAATAAACAATTTGTTATTTGGTAAAGGATATTTAAATTCCATCTATTTGTTTTTAAAAAAAATTAAAAATTAATTAATAATCTATATATTAAATTTTATGCAATAAATCAAAATGAAATGAAATTTAAAAAAAAAAAAATAAAAAAATAAAAAAAAAGAAAAATAAAAATTAATTAAAAAAAAATTAAAATAAATAAAAAAATTAAAAAATAACATAATAAAACAAATAACAACATAATTCCTTTTGTGATTGTAATATTGATACTAACAAACCTTTTTTTATATTTTTTTTTATTTTTATATTTATAGAAAAAAAATTAAAAGAATAAGGTTTATTAAAACTATTAAATTGTTGTTTATTCTTTTAAAAGAAATGTTTAATATCGGTCTACTTAAAAAATTAGTTAATTTTTTCAAAAAAATTTTGTAAATCAAATACAAATTCTGGCAATATTAAGAAAAAGGAAAATTTTATTATATTTTTTTTATTGTTATGGTGTAATTTTATTATTATTTTAAATAGAAATAGCAATATAATTTGTTGAGCACCCAAAAACTAATGTGAATTGGTTAAGTAATATTATAATATGACAATCTCCTCCCCCAAAAAAAAAAAATCATAATAAAAAAACATCATTACATAATTAGCAATATCTAATACTAATAACAAAGTTACATTAAAAGAAATGAAATAATAACCATTGCTTATATTATTTTAATATCTATTGCTTTCAGCCAAAAAAAAAAAAAAAGAAAGAAATAATAAACATCACAACTCCAAATAAAAAATTAAAATAAACAAAATAAAAAATAATTACAAGTAAAAGTTATAAATAAATATATTTAAAATAAGAAATTTAAATGTGAATTGTTTTTTTTTCAATTGTTAATACTCCCAAACAAACACTATACCTATGTTATTATTATTTTTATTATGTGTGGGTTAATTTTAGAAACAAAAAATTAAAAAAATAAAAAAATCTTTTTTTTAATAAAATTATTATTTTTTTATTTTTTTTTTTAAAAACATAAAATCAATTTTAAACAATTTTTTTTTTCTTTGCATTATTCCTTTAAATTGCACAGTCATTTTTTTTCTCATTAATTTTTTATTATTTAATATTAAGAAATCAATTGTTTAAATCTCTTTTTTAAAATATATATATTTTCAAAAAAAAAAAAATCAACCTAATTTTAAATTGTTGTTGTTTTTGTTTTTTGTTGTTGTTTTTTTGTTGTTGTTATTAATATTGTTATTGTAATTATAATAATATAAATCAAAAATCTATTTAAATACTAGTGCACAAATCCTAATTAATCAATCATCGCTAGTACCCACTCAAATTTAAATAACCTTTTAAAAAAAATTTTTTAAATTTCACACACACAACCACTTTATATTTAAAAACACCACACTCACTTTAATATTTAATAACAAAACACATTGAAAATAAAGACACATTTTTTTTAAAAAAAGATAAATTAGATATAAGAGTAAAAAAAACAATTTTGATCAAATTTTCAAGCTATTATCACACAAACAACCCACAAACAATATTTTAAAATTTCAAATAACTGCCTCATTGTGAAAGTGTTGTTGTTTTTTTTTTACTTAATATTTTTTTTTTTGTTAAATATTATATTGTTATTTTTGTTATTGGTTATTGTTATTATTTTTTTTAAAAAAATTTAATTAAAATTGTTTTTTTAAAATTAAATTAATTTTAAAAAGTTATTTTTTTGTACACAAAAAAAAAAAAATAAAAAAATATACATTTAAAATAAATCAATCACAGGTTAAAAATAAAATAAAGCCACCTTCAAAAGAAATTATAATTTGTATAAAAATAAATAAAATAAAATTAAATAAAATAAATAAATTAAATAAATAAAAAATTAATTTTATAAAAAATGGGTTCAAATTTTTCTCTCGAAAATAACACCAAAAAAAATAAAATATTTTATAAATACAATAGCAATAGCAACACATATAATTATTATAATGACAGAAACAATCAATGTAATGAAAATGAAAATCCATCAAATATTAATAATAATAAAGTAAAAAATAATTTAAATATTAATAATAACAATGGCTCTATAAATAATAGTACCAATAGTATAAATGAACAACTAACCAACTATGAACAAAACACACTAAAGGACAGTTCAAAATATGGATTTTATAAATGGACTCATATAAATAACTTTGAAGGCGATGCCCCATCATCAAGATATGCCCATACAATGGTACCTGTTGATACAAATATATTTATTTTTGGTGGATATAATGGTTTATATTTAAATGATATTCACTATTTCGATACAAGTAAGTACATACATAATCTATTTTAAATGTTACTTTTTTTTAATAATGTAAACTAATTTTTTATTTTATCTAGTTAAAAATGAATGGATTTTAGTAAAAACCAATGGACCATCACCAATTAAAAGAGCATTTCATAGTTCATGGTATTGGTCTAAAGGTAAAAAACTATTTATTTATGCAGGTTTTAATGGCAAAACTATACTAGATGACCTGTACTCTTTGGATATTGAAACTATGACATGGAAACAAGAGACCACCTGTGGTGCAAAACCAACCCCAAGATTCGAACATACAACATCATTAATCGGTGACGAAGTTTATTTATTTGGGGGTGCAAACGATGCCAACTGGCTAAACTGCATCTATGTTTTAAATCTACAAACCAATCAATGGAGGAATGTAACATTTTTACAAGGCGACCATCCACCAAAGAGATGTGCTCATTCTGCCATTGTAAGAGGTACAAGTATATTTATATTTGGCGGCTATGATGGCAAAGACAGATTAAACTCACTCTATGAATACGACACAATAACAAAAAAATGGATAGGAATATCGTATCACAACAGAAAACGAATAGGAAGAGCTGCACACACCTCATCACTTATAAATGACTCTATGGTACTGTTTGGCGGTTACGACGGAAGTCATCGTCTAAATGATATCTCAATTTTTAATACAATTCATAAAGAATGGAGACCCTCGATAATAACTGGAGACTGCCCATCTGTACGATCTTATCATTGCTCTGTAACTATAAATAACAAATTTTATACATTTGGTGGATTTGGTGAAACTACAAGACTAAATGAACTCTATGTTTTAGAACAATACTTCCCCTCATTAACAGAAATTTGCCTATTAAAATTATTAATCCAAAATCAACAAAGTCAAAACCAAAACCAAAGTCAAAATCAAAATCAAATACAGAATCAAAATCAAAATCAAAACCAAAATTTAATTCAAAACCAAAATCAAAATAATTATAGCAATATTAATAAAAATAATAATAATGGTGAAAATACTATAGATTTTTTAAAAAGAACTCATTATACAATCGGTGAACAAATCAGCAACTTCAATTTTAAAAAATATTGGTGGTCCGATTGATCAATATAATTTGTATTTATATATAGATATTTTTTTTTTTCTTTTTTTTTTTTTTTTTTTTTTTTTTTTGGTGTGCACTTTTAAATATAAATAAATCATTTAAAATAAAAACCATTTATTTCAGTTTAAAAAAAATAGATTAAAATTTTTATTTTTATTTTTCTTCTTTTTCCATATCAGATTTTTTTATTAAATCAGGAAAGTTTAGGTTTGATAAGTTAATATTAAACAAATCTTTTTTTATTATCCAACAAATCATCTCGTTCTTGGTAATAGCAAACTACATCTCCAAAATTAAATTTAGGAATAATTCCACCTTCTGTGACTTGTAAACATCTAAAATAGTTTGGGCTTTAATAACATCCATCTCTAATTTTTGTATTCAATTCATTTGTACAGTCTTCTTTGAATTCAAAATCACAAAATTGGTCATAATCATCGTTTCTCTCAAATTTATGATTATGCTTATTATTGTTTTATAAAAATATATTGTTGTATTAATAAAAATGATGCGGTAACTTATATTTCAAATGGTGTTATGATCAAAGGATTAAAGTATGGTACTTAGGTTCAAATGTAATCCCGATAATACAAGAATCAAGGAAAATGTGTAATAGGATAGGATTTGATAGCACTGCTTACGGAATAATAGAAAGGTTGATACATGAACTTACACGAAGTAGAAATAAAGTTAAATCAACATGATCAAATGATCAATTATCTCTCAACAAAAAAAATAAAATAATAGAAGCATACGACTCATTACGCCACGACTACATAATATTCTCACTTTAATTACAAAAAATAGAAAAATTGTGATTAAAGCTATCCAAGTGATTATGTCAAAATGGAAATCTAGAATTTTCATCACAAAAACATAAACAATACCAATATCCAAGAGTAGAACCTATACCAGTTGGTAATCAACACTTCCGATATTCGATGGTATCCAAATTGTAACAGAAGAGAACCCATACAAATATATGGGTGTGTACTTCAATCCGTTAATTGATTTAGACAAGAACCGTAAAATAACTCATTCTGAAGCAATGAGTAGAGCACGTTTTCTGTTCGAATCAGATCTATTTGGGCTAAACCTAGCCACAGAATTTGGCAGGATAATAATCATTAAAATCTGGAGTGGTGAAATTAGCTCCTTAATGAGAGTTTTCCCACAAGAACATAACGATAAGGTTGCTCAATTAATCTGGAGAGGCAACCAGCTCGTTAAAGTTGGTAGATAAAAAGATTATTATGTTGGATGCTTAAATAATACTAAATAAACTTTTTTGCTATTATTGAAACTAAAATATTTTATTTCTTTCTTCTTTATAAAACCTTTGTTTATATTCTTAACCAATATTGATTTAATTTCTTGTAGGATATTTTTTATTGAAATCTTTTGTAAAAAAAAATATTTTTCAAATATTTTTTTTTTTTTTTTTTTTTTTTTTTTTTAAATTTTTGTTATATTTTTTTTTAATCATTATTAATATAAAAAAATTGGTAATTTATTTATTTTATATTCACAATGGATGAGCTACTATCATCTCTAATTAACTTTCGCATAAACGAAGAGTTAAAAAACAGCAGTAATCTTAGTGATAGGTAAGTACAATACAATATAATATAAATAATAGTCGATTAATTAAAAGCATATTCAATTGGTGTTTTCTCTTTTTAACTATTTATTATAGATTATTATATATAGTTTGGAATAATATATTTTTAAGAAATGAAATTCATAAACATATTTTAAAGCTTATTGATTATAGTGTTGTAAATCTTGATAGATCACGTTATGACCAGTTTATAAATAAATCATATATAACAACACTTAAGTGGCATGGTGATACACTACCAGATAAAAATGAATTTCCACCATTTTTGTCAAATTTATATTTGCAAACTTTCAATAAAATGTTAACCCCAACAACTTTACCAAATTCAATTACTACACTCACATTCGGTGATGATTTTAACAAAGTAGTTCCACCCGGCACATTACCAAACACTCTCACAACACTCACATTCGGTGATGGTTTTAACCAAGTAGTTCAACCCGGAACATTACCAAATAGTCTCACAACACTCTCATTCGGTGGTGATTTTAACCAAGTAGTTCCACCCGACACATTACCAAATAATCTCACAACACTCACATTCAGTTTGGAATTTAACCAAGTAGTTCTACCTGGCACATTACCAAATGGTCTTACAACACTCACATTCGGTGGTTATTTTAACCAAGTAGTTCTACCTGGCACATTACCAAATAATCTCACAACACTCACATTCGGTTATAATTTTAACCAAGTAATTCTACCCGACACATTACCAAATAATCTCACAACACTCACATTCGATTATTGTTTTAACCAAGTAGTTCTACCCGGCACATTACCAAATAGTCTCACAACACTCACATTCGGTCATCGTTTTAACCAAGTAGTTCTACCCGGCACATTACCAAATAGTCTCACAACACTCACATTCGATTATTGTTTTAACCAAGTAATTCTACCCGACACATTACCAAATAGTCTCACAAAACTCACATTCGGTCATCGTTTTAACCAAGTAGTTCTACCCGGCACATTACCAGACAGTCTCACAACACTCAAATTCGGTGGTGATTTTAATTATAAAAAATTTAAAAGTAATTTTGAAAACATAAAAACTTGGATTATAGAAAATTACACAATTTTCAAAAACATTAAATTTAATTTCAGAGGGTTCAAAAAATGATATTTATAGAATAGAAAACCATTATGGGTATGTTAACATGATCTAAAATAATCAATGGATAATAATGATTTAATGTGTATCAGAAAAGAGATAATTAATGGTATTTGGGGTAATTGGCCAGCAAAGGCTCCAGATTTTCTTGGGAAATGGTCTACCTGGTTTGATTCTTCGAATATTGGTTAACCAATATTCTGAAGAATCATTATGATAACAAAGGTTTAAAAGTTAAAGGTTAAGAGCAATAAATAGTTAGGTCGATCGATGACTGGTTAACAGAATCTCAAAATAGAACCAAAGAGAAAAGAAAATGGATTATACACCATGATTTATACCAATACCAAAACTTTCCAAAGAAGATCAGGAATTACTGTTGTTTTACCGAAAGATGAATCGTTTATAAAATCAGAATCTATCGAAAAAATTTTCATAAAAAAAATTGAAAATATATAAAAAAATAAAATTTAAAAAAAAAGATAAAATAAAAAAAAAAAATTTTTATATATAAAGTTATACAAAATTATTTTTTTATAAAGTTTTAAAAAATAATGTGTTCAGATAATAATAATAATAATAATATTTTTAATGAAATAATGTATAATGATGATGAAGAAACAAATTTCAATAATAATAAACAAAAATCGATCAAATAATAATTTAAACTAAGATTTTTAAAACCATTTAAATAAAATTTTTTTTATTTTTTTTTTATTTTTTTTGGTTATTTATATCAATTTTTATTTTTATAAACAAAAAAAAAAAAAAATAAAAAAATTAATTAAAAAAAAATTTTGTCGACTGAATTCTAATCATTTACAGTTAACTGTTAAAAATATCTCCAATCAAAAAAAAAAAAAAAAAAAAAAATATATGTAAAATTAAAAAAAAAAAAAAAAAAAAGTGGTGTTTTTTGTCTAAAATACAACAGTTTTCGAACGATAATATTATTTTTTTCTATCTACCTTGACCAAAAAAAAAAAAATTCAAATAATTAGTTTATGATTGGGGGTTGTAAAAGATTTTATTTTTAGGTGGTTTGGGAATCGTCCTATTGGCGCATATATTTACTATGGCTATAATTTTTAAACTATAAAAAAAAATAAAAAAAAAAAAATTAATTTTATTTTTTTCTTTTTTTTTTTTTTTTTAAAAATATTTTTTCCACATTTCTTTTTTTTTTTTTATTTTTATTTTTATTTTTATTATAAATATTGTTATATAATTATATTGTACTTTTATACGTATAGGGTCTATTTGTTTTTCCTTAATTTGTATTTTTATAGTTTTAAAATAAAACAAATAAAATTTTATTTTTTTTTAAAATAAAAAATAAAATAAAATAAAACGAAAAATATTTTATAAATAAAATAATATTTTTTTTTAATATATATATATTATAGTATAAACTTTAAAATTTTTTTTTTTCACAATCTATAATTTTACAAAAAAAAAAAGAAAAAAAAAGAAAAGACGAAAAAAAAAAAAATGAAAAAATTTTTAATTTTTATCATTTTATTATTAAATATAATATTTAGTAATGGACAGAGCAGCGATTCTAATTTACGTATGGCTTTGCTTTTAGAAGGTCAAGTCGACGATTTAGGTATTAATTATGCAATCAATCTTGGTTTGGCTGAAGCTGAAGCAGATGTCGAACAACCAGCTAAAGTTTTAAATTTAATCAGTGGTTACGATTCAACCTATGACTCAATTCAAAGTCTCATCGATGATAAATATAACTTAATTATCACCAGTTCAAGTTCACAAAGATCAGCAGCTTTAGATATCGCAAAAAAGAACCCATCAGTTTACTTTTTCATTTATGGTAACATTGCCGTTAAAAACCTCCCAAATGTTAATGTCGGTTCATATCATTACAATTTAGTTTCTCCACACTATGTTTTAGGTTATATTGCTGGTGGCACAAATAAGAATGTTGGTATGGTCGTTCCAGGTTTACCAGTCGAAAACTATTATACCGCCAATGCTTTCTTCACTGGTATGAGAAATAGAAATAGCTCTGCCACATTATCTGTTGTCTCTACTTCATCTTATAGTGATCAAGATACTGCCAGAGGTGCCGGTCAAATTCTCTTAGACAAAGGTATTCAATTAGTTTCACAAAGTCAAACTGATATGTTAGTCCCACAAATGTTTTTAAATGAATCAAAATATGCCTTTGGTACCAATGGTTTCCCACAATCAAGCATTTATGGTAATCGTATTCTCCAATCAGTCGTCCACAACTACCAAGAGCCATTCAAGAAGGTTGCCAACATGGTCAAAGATGGTACCTGGGTCGATAACTATCAATACTATGGTGATTTTTCAAATGGTTTCTTTACTTTAGATTATTTCTCATTCTTAGTAAGTATTTTTTTTTTATTTTTTTTTTATTTTATTAAAATTAAAATATTAATTTTTTTATTTTTTATTTATTAAATTTTTAGATTGAACCAGCTGAAGTTGCAAATATTCAAAAATTAGTTGATGATTTAGTCAATCTTCAACAACCATACTTAACTCAAAATGGTGTCCTTTATAATATTAACGAATTATTAAATCAAAAAACTTTATTAGATGGTATTACTGACGATGGTTACTATGCTGTCCCAACCGTTGAAGTCTATGAAAACTCTGGTGTAAACAAGACCTTTTTAGCTTTATCAATTGTCGAAATGGCCGTTTGCTTAATTATTGGTTTAGTTGTTGTTATCTTTTTCTACAGCAACTTAAATATCATTTACTCTACCATTCCATTCTGTGTCACTATCTTATTAGGTGCCTCATTAGTCGCTGTTGCCATTTTACTTTGGAATCTTAGAGACTTAAATGATCAAATCTGTACTTCTAAAATCTGGATGGCTTCACTTGGTTATAACATCTTAATTGGTTTCATTATCATCAAAGCCACTTTAATCTACTTGAAGTTCCTTTCAATGGAAAAGAAAGGTGGTAACCAAAAGATCTCACCAGTTCCATATCTTCAAATCGTCCTTTGGTTCGTTCCATTTTTAATTATCGATGTTATTCTTTTAATCATTTACAGCACCTCAGGCCAACCAGGTAAAATCGATTCATTGGGTTTAGATGGTATTGGTAGATATGAATACACTCAAAATTGTGTAAACAACTTCACCGGTGATATCATCCTTTACATTATCTTAGTATTCCACGGTTTACAATTATTATATGGTTGTTTCATTGCTTGGAAGACTCGTGTCATCGATTTAGAAGAGTTTGTTGAAGCTCACGATTTTGCCACTGCTATTTATTTAATTACTTTCTGTAGTTTTATTATTGTAATTCTTATGGTCGGTGTTACCAGTACTCGTAATAGAAACACCATTATCTCTGCTTGTGCTATTTTCTCTACTTTCTCTTGTGTACTCATCATCTATGGTGCCAAGTTCTGGAAGATTTATAAACCAGTCGAAGATGATGGTTTACCACAAATTAAATTAAAATCACTCAAGAACGGTGGTAGTGGTAGCGGTGCTTCATTATCATCAAAATCAAAGAAATCATCATTATCAAGTGTTGGTGCTAAATCATCAGGTTCTGGTGTTAATACTGGTACTCCAGGTCAAAGTGCTATGGCTAGTATCAATATTCAAAACTTTGTAAATCCAATTGAAGCTAATTCCAGAAATATGGCTTCAAGAATGGCCGAAGATAATTAAAATTTTAAATAATAATATTATTATTTTAATTTTCTTTCTTTTTTTTAAATCATAATTTTAATAATATAACCAAATTACTTTATATAAAAGTTTTTGTAATAATAACCTAAATATAAAAAAATAATAATTTTACAGAAAATAACAAAATAACAATACAGCCGAATCCGATAAATAAAAAATACTTTATAGAATTTTTAAAAATAATTTTTTAAAAAAAAAAAAAAAAGATTTAATAAATAAAATAATTATTCTTAAAAAATAATTAAATATTTAAAACATATTTTTGGTTTTTTATTTTTTGCCAATTTATAATAATTTTTTTTTTTTTTCTTTTTTGTTAATTGTGTGTATGTGGTTTTGCCAACAATTTTTTTATTCTTCCTGGTGGTATTTTTTTGTACTAGCTATTTATTTGTTTTAATTTATAAAATTAAATATTTATTATATTTTATTTTTTTTAAATTATTTTTTATTTTTTTTTTTTAAATTTAATTTTTTTAATAATTTTCTTTCATAGATTTCGTTTTTTTTTGTTTTTTTTATTTTTTTGTTAATTTTATAATAATACAATTTTATATAATATAGCTATATTAGTAATAATAGTAATAAAATGATTCCAGGCACCAAAAAAATTAAAAATATTTGTGTTTTTTGCGGAAGCAGAAAAGGTAACGACGAAAAATATGTTGAAGTTACTAAACAATTAGCAAGCGAAATGGGAAAAAGAGGATATGGTTTGGTTTATGGTGGTGGAAATATTGGTATTATGGGTGCAGTTTCACATGGCGTCCAAGAAGCTGGCGGTAATGTTAAGGGTATTATCCCAAGATCTTTATCACCAAAAGAAATTTCAGGTACCACCGTTGGTGAAGTCACTTATGTAGATAGCATGCACACCAGAAAAGAAATTATGTATAATTCATCAGATGCATTTATTGCTTTACCTGGCGGTATTGGCACATTTGGTAAGGGTTTTATATTAATAAAAAAAAATTAAACGTATATTAATGTTTCTATTTACTTCCAATAGAGGAATTATTCGAATGTATGACATGGGTTCAATTAGGTATTCATTCAAAACCAGTTGGCATTTTAAATGTTAATGGATATTACGATCATTTAGTTAGTTTATTAAAAAATAGTGTAGACTCTGGTTTTGTTGATGGTCGTTTCATTTCATCTCTTATTGTTGAAACTGATCCAATCGAACTATTAAACAAGTTAGAATCAAATTCTTTATACAAGAGCGAAATTACTTGGTTAACCTCATCACAAGCATAAACAGATTATACAAATATTTATGCTCTCATTATAATATTTAATGCGAATTGCTTGGTTGTTATAACTTACTCCTTAAATAATAATTACCCTTGTAATTTGGAAATCATATTAAAATAAAATAATTTTTTTTTTTTTAAAAAAAGAGATAATAACTTTTTTTTCCCTAAACCTTCAACGATTCTCGCAGCAATATTATCAATAAAGGTTTAAAATAGGTGGGAGGCTTTGCCATCCGTGAAATACCACCACTTAATTAACTAGCCCGGCTAGATAGAATCCTGTTTTTTTTTTTTTTTTTTTTTTTTTTTTTTTTTTTTTTTTTTTTTTTTTTTTTTTTTTTGGTGTTTAAATCTTATTAATGGAAAAAGGTTGGGACCTCTGGGTATCAAAAAAAGACAAATTGTTCAAAAATATGATTATTCAAAATATTTTTAGTATTTAAGAAAAAATCTTCGTGAATCAGCATATCAATACAGTTGGGAATTCCAAAACATTTCCACACTTTTATATTCTTTTGTTAAACATTAGAAAAAATACTTTGGAAAATATTCAAAAAACCTTTATCCCATTATCGATATCAACAATAAAGGCATGGGGTTAAAAGATATGTTATCTGAAAAAATTCCAAAAACATGCTTTTAAATAACTCATATTAGAGGATAAAATAACAAAATTAAAATATAACCTCTTGTTATATTATAAAATTTAAAATGGCTAAATAAAAATATGTTTTTTTACAACTTAACTTTTTATATATAAAATTATTTCTTTTTAAATGTAAATATATAGAAAAAGGGATTTTACAAATAAATAAAAAAAGAAAAATTTACAAAGAAATATTAGGTGTTCAAAAATATTAGAATTTGAACTAAAACATTTATTTTAAATTTATTTATAACCTCTATTGTTGTAGTTATTATAGTTTCTATCTTTATCGTTTCTACCACCATATCCACCTCCATGGCCGCCTTGATGATGTTGTTGGTGACCGCCATGACCGTGTTGTTGGTGACCATAGCCACCATGATATTGCTGTTGTTGTAGTGGTGGTGATTGTAATTGATTGGGCTTACGATTAAGGGTTTTCTTTCTTTTATACTCTTCTTGTTCAATTTCTTTTTCTCTTTCCCTTTTCTTTTGATCATTATTATTGTTATTATTTGATTTATCATTTTGTTGTGAAGGTGTATTATCTTTTTTACTAAGAGCCGCTTTTTCTCTCAATTCTTTGATTTTTTGATTTTTTTCATTTTCGTCTTTTTCCTCTTTATCACGTGGTGGAGCTTGTTGTTGTTGTTGATGAGGAGGTGATTGTTGTGATCTATCTTTGCTATTGGATCTGCTTCTAATCTGATTTGATGATGTTGATGGTGGTGTTGATGATTGACTTTCACCACTTATATTACTGCTACTATTGCTTTTCTTTAATGATTCAAATTTCTCTTCTCTCTTTTTTTTATCTCTTTTAAATTTTTCCTCTTCTGATGGTGGTGGTATAGCAGGAGAAGTTACATTGGATGATAAGGTTGGTGAAGTGTTTTCATTACGATTGTTTGATCTGTGTGGTGGTGATTTTTGTGGTGGTGATTGTTGTGGTGTTTCATTATTTTTGTTTCTTTCTTTGCTTTCATTTCTATCACCTCTATCGTTTCTATCATTTCTTTCATTTCTATCGTTTCTTTCATTTCTTTCACTTCTTTCATTTCTATCATTCTTGATATCTCTATCATTCTTGATATCTCTATCATTTTTATCTTTATTGTCACTCTTATTATCTCTTTCAGCTCTACTTTCATTTCTTTCATTTCTTTCGCTTCTTTCGTTTTTAATGTCTTTATCACTTCTATCTCTTTCATTTCTACCTTCTCTTAGATCATTTCTTTCGCCTCTATCATTTCTGCCGCTATCTCTAAGCTCATTTCTTCCATCTTTGCTTTCACCTCTATCATTTCTGTCATTTCTATCACTTCTATCATTTCTATTGTCTCTAAAATCATTTCTATTATCACTTCTATTTTCGGTCCTGGTACTTTCTCTTTCTCTTTCTTTGCTCCTATCTCTTATATCTCTGTTGAAGTCACCTCTATTTTCATTTCTATTATAATCTCTACCTTCACCTCTATTTTCATTTCTATTATAGTCTCTGTTGTTATTACTATTATTATCGTTGTTACCTCTACTTCCATAATTTTCTCTATCTCTATTATCTCTACTGACATCTCTTTCAATACGAGGTTGTGATGAATCTCTGTCACTACGATCTCTTTCGATACGGTCTCTATCATTACGCTCTCTTTCTAATCGTTGAATTTCTTTTTCCTTTTGTTGGTCCCTTTCTTTTTCTTTATCACGGTCTTCTCTTTGCTTATCTCTTTCTTTTTGATCTTTGTGTTGATCTCTTTCTCTATCACGATCCTTATCACGTTGTTGGGACTCTTTTTCTCTTTGTTCACGATCTTTTTCACGAACATCTTTTTCACGTTGTTCCTTATCTCTTAAATCTCTTTCTTTTTCACGTTGTTCTTTTTCTTTTTCGCGTTGTTCCTTTTCTTTTTCACGTTGTTCCTTTTCTTTTTCACGTTGTTCTTTTTCCTCTCTTTGTTGCTTATCTTTTTCCTTTTCACGTTGTTCTCTTTCAATTTCTCTTGATGATTTGGTGCTATCTCTTTCTTTATCACGTTCTTCTCTTTGTTTATCCCTTTCAGATTTATTGGTTGTATCATCTTTCATAATAACATCTTTGGAGTCTCTAGTTTCTTTTGATTCTTTCATAGCAACATCTTTGGAGTCTCTAGTTTCTTTTGATTCTTTCATAGTAACATCTTTGGATGAGGATTGTGGAGAGTTTGTGTTTGATTGAGAGGTGTTTGTAGTGGTTGTATTTGTTTTTTTTGGTTTGATATCATCAATCATTCTTGGTTTTTCTTTATCTAATAGAGAGTTGTATCTGATTGCTAAGGTTTTTAAATCTTCTCTTTGTTTTAATTGTGATACCAATGACTCGATATATTCATAGTTTGATTTATGAGCTGGGAAATAGTGTACCAATTTAGTTAATACCAATAGACCATTTCTAATAACCATATGTTCACCTGAATTTAAACAGAGAGCAAACGAATCACTAATCGATTTATGACACTTTGTGAAAAATTTGACGAAATTTTCATAATTTAATTTGATAATTTTGCCACATTCTCTATCATAAATAGATTCTGATTGTTTCCATTTATTTAATACACCAAATGATTCGCTTAAAAATCTTCCAAATCTATTGGCCTCGTTATCTGTACTTGAAAAAACTGTAAAGGTAATCATACTAACTAATTCATTGTAATAGTTCATTAAACCAAAGTTTGGTGTATTAATGGTATGTAATATTTGTACAAATTTGGCACAGTAGATGGCATCGGTTGAGGTAAAGGTTGCTCTTGGAAAAACGCAGTATTGAAGGAATTTAATTAATGATTCTTTCTTTATATTTGTATCTTTACTTTCTTGGAAGAATTTATCTTTTTGAGATTGAATTGATTCTAATACCTTTTGATGGTTTTGATTTTGAGTATTGAATTCTTTTTGTAATTTTTCAAGATTTGTTTGAACTCTTTCTTTTTCTTTCTTTTTCTTTACATCTTTACTACCACTTTGTACATATTGATATTCTAATTCACTAATTTGTTTTTTGAGCTTTGTTATTTCAGTTTCATATAATGTTTTTGGTACGTAAATATCATATAATGAATGGGACCAAAAAGTACTGTATAACTCTGGGCTAATGGTTTTCCAAATATCATCGGAATAAATTGGTTTACAAATTGAGGTAATGTTTTTTGAAGATGGCTCGCTTGATGTAGTTGGGGCTGTAGCAGTTGGTGATGATGGTAAGGTAGTGCTGGTAATGGTGGTGCTGACAGTGGTGGTGCTGGTAGTAGTAGCTAATCCTTTAAAAATCTGATTAAATACTGGCCTATAAATATGAAAAGCAGCTTCTGGCTCCAAATGATATGTATTTACTAGACTATTGAAATCTTCTTTAAAATATTCTGAATATTTTTCGGGTGTTGAATGGGATGATAAAAACTCTGTATATTGAAGTAAAGTTTCTTGACATTTGTCATAAAGATTATTGATAAGTTTGATATGTTGATGTTCATTTGAATCATGAATGATATTGTGGCATTGTTTAGCAATTAAAACGAAAAGTGGAAAGGCTAGTTTACTATTAACAAGTGCTTCTTTTAATTTGTTTATCGACTTCTTTGAATTTCTAACACCCTGTAGTTGAACTGTGGTAGTTTCTTGTTTTAAATTTTCACCACCGGCCTGAGCCTCCATTTGAGCTTCAGGAGCTTCTTCGACAATCTCTGTGACACCCATTTTTAATAACAACTCTTTAAGAATAATTAAATCGAGAGAATTGTTATCTTTTAATTGATTAACGGTATATTGTAAAATACCTTCCAATTCGGTAAGAGGGTACTTTTTATAGTATAAACCAATAAAAAGTGAGAGTGCTTGGAACCAAGATGCAATATTTGTACCATCCGGTTTTAGTCTATCTCTCTTTATACAAAGTCTTTCTAAAAGTACAAAACTGAGTACGTCCGCAGATAATGTTGAAATATATCTAAGACCGTCGACCAATGGAATAACAAGGGAGTCAAAAAGTTCTACTTGAGATAAAATGACTTCAAATACGATGGCTGGGTGGGCATGACTAATTTTACCAATGGATTTGCCTAATTGTTTGTAATTATCTTTTGATAAACGACGCATAATCTTTTTTGTTTCAATGATAACGTCTGTTTTGGTGCATATTAAAGAGAGGACTTTTTTGTATTGTTCTTTCCATTCGTAATAAATTTGGTATCTCTTTTGATATGGGAAGTGTTTTAAGATATCCCAAATCTCACTGGCAACACAAGGATTTTCTGGTGTCATTGAAAAGGTTGGTAAAAGAACGGACTGTAAGATACTTTCAAGGTCACTCTTTAATTGAACGTAATTTATTTTCGAGTTTGGTTGTTGTTGGTCTACCAATGGTAAAACTTTAACTACGACCCTTTCAAAAATTCTGCAAATTTTTAAAAATAATTTGATATCTTGAGATAGGAAAACTCCTAAGTGGCCAAGTAAAAAGAATATCATTTCTGATGAATCTATAAATGCCTGTAAATCGAAATTGGTAATAATAGTACTTGAGCCAGTTGTAGTGCATGATTCTCTTAAGGTAGTGAATGAAATTGGATTATAAAGTGGTTCGATAATTTGTGACAAACGTGAAATTAAAGCTTGAGATACTTGTGTATTTGATGCTACATCAATTTGAGAGGATGATAAATTATAAAGTAGTTGGCCTGTACAATGGACTTCGTGGGTCTCTAATAGTGCAACCAATAAATTGAATTTTTGGTTCTCTTGAACTAATTCATTTGCAGCTGCAACAGCAGCGACAGCCTGTGATGCTGCTTGTTCCTTTTTACTAGCATTGGCACTTTGTTGAGTATCATCATTTGATACCAATGAGGTGGAATTTCTAGAGGAAGCAATAATTTCCTCTCTTCTATGTTGAAATTGGTTTTTAATCTCTTCATCGCTTGGTGCCAACTATAAAACAAAAAATAAACTGGTTAGTCAATGAAATGGAAAATATTGGTGGTAAAATAATAGTGATCGTTATTTTTAACTTACATGTGGATAAATTGACTCTAAATTAAATATTTTTTCTTTTAACAATAATGCTGTGACGTTGTATAGCGATTTTGGTGTTATTATATCATTTGGGTTGGTTGTGGTTTGTATAATAGGTGATTCTTGAACTGTATTGGATGTTGAGGTTGAGGATGATGATTTTATAGTAGTTTCACTTTTATCGGCGGCAGCAGCGGCAACAGCAGCAGCAGCTTGCTGCTCTAATTGTTGCTTTATTTGTTGAATTTGAGATAGTTGTTGTTGTTGATAAAATTGGTACTTAAAACCAATTAATTGCGGAATTGCAGAAACTTTAAAATTCTTTAAAATCTTTAAAAAACATTCGGAATTTTGAAAATTTTGTTCAAAGCTATCTAAAACTATATCTAAAACTCTATTTGGATCCAAATTGAAATAACCAATCAATGCTTTAATATTTTGGATGGTTGCGTCTACTGTACGTTCATTTAATAATGGACCTTTGTTTAACTCTGATAACACTTTCGAAAAACCTTCACTTTCTTCTTTAAATAAATTAAACTTTACTTGTGTATAACTGATTATTTTGTGTAGTATTATTCAAAATTTGTTATTATTTTTAAGATTGGATATTAATAATTGTTTCATTGATTTTTTTTTTTTTCTAAAAGAGATATCCAAACCAAACCAGTACTAAAATTAAAATTTACTTACACATCCTTTGTATTTACTCTGATAAGTCTATTTAAAAATTTTTTTTGACTTTTAATTATACCTGAAGCCTCCAATATATCCATTTCCAATCTTTCCTTCAACATATTTGCTGGTACTACTCCTTGTTCAACACTTTCTTTAACCAATGTAATCAAATATGGTTTTTGGATGTTATCTTCTGAACCCAAGGTTTCAATTTCTGTGCCAACCAACCAAAAAACATCTGATAAAACTGTATCGAAATTTTTAATTGACTAAAGAAATATTAGTATATTTATTTTAATATAATGATCATTATTGTTAACAAAATATTTACCACTAAAAAGTTTTCATATTTAAAAATATTTATTAGCTTTTGAGCACTGAATAATTCACCCTTTGTATATTTTGATATTAAATTATATAATTCCATTTTAAATCTTCCATTGATTCCTGCAACATCACAATTTGGTTCGTTGTGGCAATCTGTGATTTTTTTAAGGCGATTAAAAATATTTTGAAAATTTTCTGATTGCTCCCATTCTTTATCTGTGGGAGTTGCTGTTGATGGAGTTTTTGTCTCCATTTTAATTTTGTCCTATCTAATATAATAAATATTTACAATGAGAAAAAAACAATTCTATATTATTTTATATTATTTTATTTATTTTATATACAACTATTATATAAATGAACTATTTTAATTTGTTTATTCGACTGGATTATTATTTACAACTATTATAATTTATTAGACAAATTTGTAAATCTTTTTTTTTATTTTTTTTTATTTTTTATTTATTTTTTTTTTGTTTGTTTATTTGATTTGAACAATTAAATATTGAAGAAAAAGTAAAAATAAAAAAATACTATAAATGATTTGTATAAATAAACCTCTTAAATTTTATTATAGAAATAACAAATATAGATACTAATTTAAAATTTGAAACTAATGAAATTAAAAAAAATTTTATAAAAATTTTGAAAAAATTAAAAAAAAATTAAAAAAAAAAATTAAAAAATTAAAAAAATAAAAAAATTAAAAAAAAAATTAAAAAAAAAATAAATAAAATTATTGTAAAATGAAATAAATAATGTATTTATAAAAAATAGACTTTATTTATACTTTTAACTTTTTAGCTAAAAAAAGAAAAAAAAGGTGGTATTAATTACAGGTTGCACAAATTTGGATTTGTGAATATTTTTGAAAAGAAAAAAAAATAAACATATACAGGAAATATATAAAGTACTGTTTAATTTGATTGAATAAATAAATAAATAAATAAAATCTGTGGTAAATTGATATACAGGTTGCTACATTGAACAGAGATGAGAAACAGAAAATTACACTATACATTTCTTCTATTCTTATTGGATTGAACATTTACATTTGACGGTGTCATATTTTTGGTTTAAAGTTGGAATATCATTGATACGTTGAATATGTTGGTTTTCTTTGGCCAAAGATGGATTTGCTAAACCATATTTACTTAAAGTACAAAATAATGACTCTATAATTGGGATAGTTTCAATATGATTTGGACCATAATAAGATTTTATTATAGTTAATGCATCATAACGTAATGCAATTGATTCATATAAAACTGGTTTATTACTACTATGTGAATTATTATTACTATTATTGTTGTTAGTATTATTATTATTATTGTTATTATTGTTATTATTATTATTATTATTATTAATATTGTAGCTTAAACTATTATTACTGCTATTATTATCCTCACCACCTTCACTTTTTTTAAAAAGATGTCTTGTGGAATAAGGATCAAAGTCTAAGCTATTTCTATTACTACTACTATCGTCATTATTATTATTGTTGGTATTATTTCTATAACTTATGCTACCTCTACTGATACTATTATTACTCTTATAGCTGTCATTATAACTTTTTGTTTGAAAAAGTTCATTTAAATCGTCACTATAACTATTTTTACTACTACTATTATTATAACTTAAAAGAGTGTCATTGTTATTACTATTATTATCATTATTACTATTGTTATCATTGTCACTATTGTTATTATCATTATTATAGGTTAAATTATTACTACTAGTTTTTTTATAAACATCTCTAAAAAAACTATTATAATTACTAAGGTTTTGAGATCTAACTTCTGTATCATAACTATCAGACATACGATTATATAAGTAAGCCATCATTGGATGTGATTGGCCATAATGTAAACGGAAACCTTGTAAAGCAATATTAAAATATCTTTGGGATAAACTACGATGATCTTCCATTGATTGATGAGAACGATAGTGGCATTCTAAAGTGCCATATAGAAAAAAAGATTCGGAACAATCTTGATGATGATCGTTATAACCATTGGCTTTAAAATTTAAAAGGGCGGAATTTAATTTTTCACGAAGAACATCTAAAAACTCTTGATCGGGCTCCCATAAACGTGAACGTGCGTAAAGGGCGCATGAAACTTGCATATTTAAAATCATACCAATATATGGGCCTTGATATTTTAGTTGATTTAAAATTGAAATGGCATTTTCAAAAGTATTATATGATCTGTTATCTAATGCATAATATAAACCACCACCATGAATTTGTCCCTTTAAACCATTTTGAAAATCGAAAATATATTGTGAACGGGCAGCACATGCTAAAACATAGGCATAGTCTACTTGTTGAATCGATAATGGTGAGGTAGTCAATAGGGAGAATGCTTCACGATACAAATCGATTGAACGTTGTAATGACTCTATTGTTTTTAATTCATAATTGTAGTATCCCAATAACTCCAAAAGTTTAACTTGAACATCTCCATCGATTCTCTGTTGTTGTAATTGTTGATCTAAATACTGAATATAATCTTTGATTTCTTGTGAATTGTTTTTAAATATTAACTTTGCATATAAACAACTTTGGTGCCTTTGATCTTGGTGCCCCATCTGATTTTGCAGTTGTTTCTTTTGATGTTGCTGATTTAATTGATGTATTTGTAATTGTAATGTCTCCATTATTATTTATTACAATATGATTAATTTTTTTATTTTTATTTTTTTATTTTGTTTTGGGTAAAATTATTATTATTTTGTTTGTTTTAGTATTATTACTTTTTTTTAGTTTTAAATAGAGAAAAGAAAAAATAAATTTTATTGAGGGGGTATATATACCCAATAATTAAAAAATAATAAAAAAAATTTTAATGTTTAATTTAATTTAATTTTAATTTTTTTTTTTTTTTTTTAAATTTAATAAATTATAATAATTATTTATTTTTTTTTTTTTATTTTTTTTTTTTTTATTATAATAATTGAATTATAACATTTGATATGGAAATGAGGTTGTTTGTTATATATAATAAGGTTATTTGAATGTATGTGGGGGATTTTATGACAGGAAGAGTGGTGTATTAGTGTATAAGTATACTGTGTGTTTTTGTGTGTGATGTGGTGTTGATATTAATATTAAAAATATTAGTTATTATTTTTTGTTATATCGTTGTTATATTACTTTTATTACAAATGTTACTAATACGTTGTTATTATTGACAGATGGTGAGTGAAGTGATTTAAAAAATAAATTTAAAAATAAAAAAAAGTGTGTATGCAAATATTGTGTGTTTTTTTGGAGTGTGTGATGTGGATCTAAATATAAAATAAATAATTTTTATCAGTGTTTATGTGTAAATAATTAAAAATATATACAAAAATTGTAATTGTTGGTTGTTATTAAAAAAACAAATAAAATTTTTAAAGTAAAAATAAAATTGTAATTAAAATAATATTAATCCTTTTGGTAATATTAAATTTAAAAAAAAAAAAAATTGTTTAGTTTATTAAATAATAAAAAAAATAAAAAAAAAATAAAATAAATAAAAAAAAAAAATGGCGTTTTCCATACCCAAAAATATTTTTTTTTTAAATTTTTAATTTTTTTTTTTATAACCCTGTGATCATTAGATTTTTTTTTTATTTTAATTATTTTAATTATTGACACTAACAATTTTTTTTTTTTATGTTTTAATTAAGCACTATTTCACACTATATAACCAAGCCATCACCCAAACATTCAACATCCATGTAACAGTTTTAAACAAGGTCTGAATTAAAAAAAAATTTAATAGAAAAAAAAAAAAAATAAAATAAAGAAAAAAAAAAAAATAAAGAAAAAGAAAAAGAAACAAAGAAAAAAAAAAAAGTCAATGTTAGGTGTTCAAAAAATCTTAGGTTTTCAAATTGTTAACTATTTTTATAGTTTTTTTGAATATATAACTGTTCAAATTATAATAATAATAAATTTTTTTTTTTTTTTTTTTTTTTTTTTATTTTCCCCAACTAAAAAAATAAAATGAATATAAATAAAAAAATATAAATGAATTTAATATTTATTTTAAAAGGAATTTTTTTTTTTTTTTTAATAAAAAGGATTTTTTTTATTATTTTATTTAATAATTAACTAATATTATTCCAAAAATAAAAATAATAAAAGAAATTGGTTTTATTGTATTGGTACCACTAGATTCACTATCTAATTCACTTTCGCTGTTGTGTGGGACCTCAATATCTTTTGATGAACTTTCATTTGAGGAATGATTTGATGATTCACTTGAGGAATGATTTAATGATCCATTTGAAGAGACACTTGAGGATTCACTTGATGACTCATTTGATTCACTTGATGATTCATTTGATTCACTTGATGACTCATTAGATTCACTTGATGATTCATTTGATTCACTTGATGGTTCATTTGATTCACTTGATGGTTCACTTGATGAACTATCAATTGATGAGGAACTTTCTCCTGATGAGGTGCTATCTACTGATGAAGAGGTATCTTCTGAGGATGAAGTTTCGCTTGATGGCTCAATTGATCCATTTGATCCATTAGATGATTCGTTTGATGAGGATTCATTTGATGATGATTCGTTTGATGAAGATTCATTTGATGAAGATTCATTTGATGAAGATTCATTTGATGAGGACTCATTTGATGAGGATTCATTTGATGAAGATGAAGTTTCACTTGATGGCTCAATTGATCCATTTGATGATCCATTTGATGATCCATTTGATCCGTTTGATCCATTTGATCCGTTTGATCCATTTGATCCGTTTGATCCATTTGATGATTCATTTGATGAGCTTTCAGTTGATGATGAGCTGTCTACTGATGATGAAGTCTCGCTTGAACGGGAGTTTGATGATTCATTTGATGAGCTTTCAGATTGATTTGGAGTCGAGGAGGGAGTTTCACTTGGAGTAACACTTGGGGTAACACTTGGAGTAGTTGTTGGAGTTGGGGTTTCAACTTTACAATTAAAAATATAATTTGATGAAGTGATGTTTTTTCCATTACATCTAAAACTCTTGATAGAAAATATCTCAAGAGAAAATCTATTACAATTTTTACTTGAGTAGATGTAGGTAACATAATTTTTCTTTTCTTTTTTTATATTAAATGATTTTCCACAACTATTATAACATTTATCAGAACTAATGATATATGGATCTGAACTACAGGCATCTTTTACTCTTAGAACCTCTTCAGCATATATAATGCCAATAAACAAAAATACAAATAAAATTGAAATAAATTTAAAACAATTCATTTTATTATAACAACAATAAATAATATAATAAAAAAAAAAAAAAATTTTAGATATAAAGGTATATTAATAGAACAGGAAAAAAAAAAAAAAAAAATATTGAGATTTTTTAGAAATTTTTTTTATCTAAAATCAAAAAAGGTTTTCTCTGAATTCTTGAATTATCATAAACAATATTTTTTTTATAATTTTCTAATTTATATTATTCCGCAAGGTAAAAAAAAATGTAAAATTTATAAATAAACAATTTATTTTTAAAATTTTAAAAAAAAAAAAAATCTTTCTTGGGTTCTTAGGGTCTTTAAAATAATAAATGGGCAATGTTCACACCATCACAAAAAGGTGAAGTGTTTTTTTTTTTTTTTGATATTTTTATTTTAATTATATTTTATTTTCGTTTATAATTTTTTGTTTCGTATACGCTATGTAACTATTAAATTTCACAGAGTTAAGAATGATATCGTGGTTAATTGGAAAAAAAAAAGGTGATTGAAATTATATTGCGTAAAAAATATTATTTGAATCTCTTTATACTGATTATTTATAAATTGGCTATTGAGCGAAAAAAGTTGCCCCACATCAAAGTTGTTTTTTTTTCTTTTTTTGAATTTTTTTTTTTAAAATTTGTGTATATTTATATTATTGGTTATGATTTAGTTTTTATCGATTGTTGGTTTGAATGGTGGTTCAACAGTGAGATTAAGCATACCTTCCCAATCTATACCTTCAAAGAATGGATGTTTTTTAATACCTGTGGCATCAATTCTTTTTCTTTCTGGTGAAATTAATCTATATAGTTAAAAAAAAAAAAAATTAGAAATCAAAATTTTATAATATAAATATAAATATAAAAATAAAAATAAAAAAAAAAATTAAAGAAAACAATCAATAAAAAAGAGAGGATAATAAAATATTTTTTCAAAAGAAAAAATAAAAAAAAAACATGGTAAAAATAAACCACATACTCTCTGATTAAAGATTCTGCTACTTTAGAAATATTTGGTTGGCTTTTTTGAATGGCAGTATTCAATAAACCCCTCCAATTTCCAATATTTTCTCTAATTTTTTGTTCTGTAGTGTCAGGTGATTCGACAAATAAAGCAGTTCCGGTAACCAATTCGAAAAGAATTGCACCTAATGACCAATAGTCACAAAGTTTGGAATAGTTAACACCTTGAACCACTTCAACGGCCATATATTGAGGGGTACCAATATAAGAAGTATAGGACTAATAAATAAAAATAAAAAAAATTAGAATTTTTATATTTTACAATTAGTATGTGATTAAAAATTGATATCTTACATTATTTGGATTTCTTAAAAAAGATGAAAAATTTGGTGGAGTATTATCAAATGATCTTGAACCAAGGGATCCACTACCAGCACTTGATGGGGAGCCTGAGAAAGAGAAACCTGAGGAGCTTGTAGTATTAACGGCTTGTTTTGATGAACCAAAGTCACCAAGAATAAGGTGGCCATCTTTATTGATCAATATATTCTCTGGCTTGACATCTCTATGAAGAAGCCCGTATGAATGGAAAGATTCTAAACAACAAACTAATTCGGCAATATAGAATTTAATTTCTTCGTCTGTAAACTTTTTACCTTCAACAAGACGGTCATAACAAAATGTATTAAAGTCACCACCTGGAATATACTCCATGACATAATAAAAAACACCTTCGATACTATCTACAAATGAACAAAATAGTTTTGGTGCCCTTTTATTATTTTTATTATTACAAGTAACCATTGCATTTCTTTCTCTAAATGCTCTTTTTTTCTGTAGAAATAAAAAAAAATATTAGTAATCGAACAATAATTATTTTTTTATTAATATATTTTATACATACAACCAATTCAGAGTCATTTACATCTACATAAAATATTTTTTTCATTGCATATACCTCTTGTGAATTTTTTTCTTTGACCAAATTTACTTCGCCATATGAACCACTACCAATATTTGAAAGAATTTCAAAAGAATCTATATTTAATTGACCTTTGAATTCATCAGACTTGTAATTAAATTCATCTTCGTTTGGTTCAGTTGGGATATTTAATCTATTATGTTGTGATGGGATTAAAATTGGTTCCATTTTTATTTTATTTATTTTAGAGATTTTTTTTTAAAAAAAATTTATATTGTTAAATTTATATGTTTTTTAAAAAAAAAAAGAGAAAGAAAGAAAGAAATAAAGTGAAATGGAAATGAAATGAAATAAAATGTGGGTTGTGTTTTTTTAAAAAAAATTATTTAGTTAAAAAAAAGGTGTGAGAGTGTGAGAATGTTAAGCTTTTGTTAATTGTGTTTGTTTTTTGTAAAAAAAAAATATTTCTTTCGTTATTACTAATTATATAATTAATAATATGTTCTATGATAGGAAAATGGCTTATTAATTACTTTTATAAAACTAAATTATATTATTATTATTAATATTATTATTATATTATATTATTACTATTTTTTTTATATTATTGGATATTATAATACTAATTATTCGAATATTTAAAACTCTAAAATTTTAATGTTGAGAAAAAAAAAGAAAATAAATTGATATTAATATTTTTTATTACTAATGTAAAATCAATAAATTATTATCTATAAAAATTTAAACTATTTAATATTACTGTTAAAAACAATGATTTTAAAAATAAATAAATATTTTTTTAAAAAGTATTTATAATTTAAAAATAAATAAAATAAAAATTAAATAAAAAATAAAATAATGTATGTAGTGTGTCTCTAAAGTGGGTTAAGTGTGTTTATGAAAATGAGATAAAAAGATTTAATAGTGTGTGTGTGGATAAAGGGGTGAATGTCTTTAAAAAAGTGAGATAGATTTTATTATATTTTTGTTTTTATTATAATATGGGGTGAGTGGTATTTGTTTTATTTGTGGGTGCCAAAAATATTATTGGTGTTTTAATTAAAAATCCAAATTATTTGTTTTTTTTTAAATAATGTAATATAGTATTTTGTTTTTTAGTCGTTTTTTTAGGATGGTTTTATTACTAATTTTATTATTATTTTAATTAATTATACTATTTATATTGATTATAATAATTTCGGTGTTTTAAGAAGAAAAAAAAAAATATTTTTATTTTTATTATTTTCAATCAACTAAAAATAGAAATTATTATTATTTTAAATTGGTTGTATTTTTTTGTAGAGGCGAGTAGGGTGGATTTATTTATTTAGTTATTTTTTTTTTTTTGTTTAATTATTCTTTTTTTTTTTTTTGATGTTAAATATTGTTATTTCTATTATTATAATTTATTTTAATTGAATTTATATAAATGGATTTTTTTTTTTTTATATTTATATTTAAAAAAAAATTAAAAATTATAATAAAAATAAAAAATAATAATTATTATAATATTAATAATATTATAATAATTAATAATGATGATTATTCTTAAATAAAATGTTATTTTATATGTGATGTGGAAGTGTAGAGACAAAAAAAATGATTTTATTTGTACAATATAATGCTAATACTACTCTTTTTATTAAAATTATTGATAATATTATTGTTGTTTTGTTTTTGTATGATTAAATCATATGTAAACATACACATACACTTTCAATACAAACTATAACAACAATTGTATAGTAATAATTATTTACAAGCATTCCCCCCCAACCAATAAAAAATAAAAATAAATAAAAAAAAATTAAAACCCGCATTTTATAAACCATAGACATATATTTTAGATCTATATTGTTACTGTACCAATAGATTTATATGGGTGTGGTGTTTAAAAATTTTGGATATTAACTTTTTTTTTTTAAGGGGGGGATTGTATGATTTGTTATTTTTTTTTTTT